GAATCAACATAGTTAAAATGGTCATATTACCCAAAATGATATACAGATTTAATGCAATTCCCATCAAAATCCCAATGGCATTTTTTAAAGAAATAGAACAAAAAGTCATCAGATTTGTATGGAATCACAAAAGACCTCAAATAACCAAAACAATCCTGAGAAAAAAGAACAAGGCCAGAAGAGAAGTATCACGCTGCTTGACTTCAAATTACACTACAAAACAACAATAATCAAAAGTCATCAGATTTGTGTGGAATCACAAAAGACCTCAAATAACCAAAACAATCCTGAGAAAAAAGAACAAGGCCAGAAGAGAAGTATCACGCTGCTTGACTTCAAATTACACTACAAAACAACAATAATCAAAAGTCATCAGATTTGTGTGGAATCACAAAAGACCTCAAATAACCAAAACAATCCTGAGAAAAAAGAACAAGGCCAGAAGAGAAGTATCACGCTGCTTGACTTCAAATTACACTACAAAACAACAATAATCAAAAGTCATCAGATTTGTGTGGAATCACAAAAGACCTCAAATAACCAATCATACACTGCTGGTGGGACTGCAAATTAGTACAGCCACTATGGAAAACAGTATGGAGGTTCCTCAAAAAACTAAGAATTGATCTAACACATGATCCAGCAATCCCTCTACTGGGTATTTACCCCAAAGTCTTGAAAACCCATATCCGAAAAGATATTTGCACACCAATATTCATAGCAGCACTATTCACAGTGGCCAGGACGTGGAAGTAGTGATTGGCTGAAGAAGCTGTGGGGCATAACTTTGGTTTGTGATGCTCCCAGCAGAAATCATCCTGGTTGTGGGAAAGCCTTGGAGTCACTGCCTGACAGCACCAGAGGGCGTTCTAAGACCACACAGCACTGAGTTTTGCGGCTCTGCCTCTGGGATGAAGTCGAGCTTCGGTGTACAGCTGCTCTCACCACAGGGGTCGCATAATCATGAATCTGGGCTTGTTCTCTCTCTGCATTCTCCCTTTAGATACAGTGAGGCCAGGTGATTTCAGACGGGGCGATTCAACTCGGCTACCTCAGCAATTGTATCCTCTTTGTGCAGCGCTGCTTCTCCAAGGAGAGGCTGACGCCTGCGGCCCAGGAGAACCACATCCGTCCTGGACTATACAAAGAAGAGACAGTGGAAACCACAGATGAGAAAATCTTCCACATCTGGTGTTCTGAGGAGCTGCCAACCACCTGTGTCTGAGCTGGGTACTGCTCTTTTTCTTATTTCCTTCTATCTTCATGCTCCTTGATCAGCATTCTCCTATTCTTTCTCAGTTCTCTTTTCCTTGCCCAGCTATATTAACCACAGATATACAGAAACTAGGGCTATTTTGCATCAGATGGCTCTAGACAGTAATAATAAAATCATCCTGCTGGTCCCTTGAAACTGCTGTCCCACAAACATACTGACATGCATGCGTACACACATGGGCCTACCAGCTAATTACCCCGTGGTGAGTGCCTGAGTGGGAAGGGCAATTTGGGGCAGCCGCCTGGGAGGTAGCTGTCAGGCCTGCCTTCAGCGTAACCTGACAGTCTGTATCACATCTCCTGGCCTGTCGGTGTGGGGGTGGGGGGCGGCGGAGGAGGGGCGCATTTACTCCTGTACACTGAAGGGACGATGTTCTTGCAAATTGCATTCCCTTGACTAAGAGTCTTTTGGGCAAATCAAAGTTTTCCTCAGGCATTGGGAGAACAAGATAAGAAACTCCTAGCCCTACACTGGACACTGTATGTGAGATACCCGACTTTCAGAAATCCCAGTGCTTCACCAGCAAAAGCCCAGTCGTGAGGTTCTTTAAGCCTTGTTTGGTGATTTTTACGGCAGGAGGCCTAGACGAGCAGACTAATTATACTGGCATATGATCTTTTTTAAACACATAGGAAAAAAATCTGGATGAAACCCTTGTAAAGTTATCTATTCCTAACCAGCGGTCCCCAACCTTTATGGCACCAGGGAACTGCGCTCCTATGAGAATCTGATGATCTGAGGTGGAGCTGAGGCAGTGGTGCTAGTGCTGGGGAGCGGCTCACTTCCTGCTGTGCAGCCCAGTTACTAACAGGCTACTGACCAGGACTGATCCACAGCCCAGGGGTTGGAGATCCTTGGCTTAGACTGTACAATATTGCGAAGGCCCCAAGGGCAGCATTGTCTCCTTTACCTGCTGGTTTCCCCTTTCCTCCCTATCAAAGAAGGGCAAAAGGCCAGCGCAGTTGTCTTCCCCGGCTTTCCTTCTTCTTTTGCTATGCCGTGTTAATTACTTTTACTATAAGCTTTCTCTGAAGTTCTGGTGTGTGAAGACCAGAGAGGCCTATACAGATAGCCACGTGCTATACCATTCCATGGGCTCAGGCCATAGTTCCTGGTGCAGCCCCAGAGAACACTACTTCCTACAATTCTCCAGAAAAACATCTAGGCTCTTCATCAATTTCCCCTAGCTGATAACCTCAGCTTTTCTTACAACTGATACAGGGCCTACACTTATTAAAGTGTCAGAGAGTTAGAGAATGTGAACTTGAGAAGCTTAAAGGTCACCTATCTTCGACTAAGACTCTTTTTTTTACAAAAGGGTAAGATGAGGCCAGAGAAGAAAGGTGACTTGCCCAAGGTCACACAGATGGTTAGTGGAAGATTCTGAACTTAGTCCAGTTACCTTGACTACCAGTTGAAGACAGTTCTGTCCACTCTCAGTTTCAAGTATTGGGTAGGAACCATTATTTTTTTCCAAAGATAATAAATTCTGCACGTTTCTATTTGTGAACATGGGTGAGAATAGAAGCCCCTGAAAGCAGGTACAATGTTTTTGGCATTATAACACTGCTAGGTGAATAGGTACAGAATCCCTAAATTAGCCTTCTACCTCTTCTGAAATTTTGAGCTAGCAAGCGGGGTGTTTATCCTCAGGCCAAAACTTGAGAACTGCTCTCTAAAGAAATGGAAAAAAGCTGTCCATCTGCCTGTTCACACACATTCATCCTTTCATTCAATATATATATATATTGAATGAAAGGATGAATGTGTGTGAACAGGCAGATGGGGAGCAGTCACAATATTATCCATGACTCAATAAAAGCAGACAAGTCAGGGGCACACAAGTGTTACGGAGTGTGTTTGTCCCTCTCGATATGAAGCCTGGGTGAAGGAGAGCATATCTGTGTATAAGGAATGTCTGTAAGCACCATGTGTGCTGAGAGTCCAGTCTGTGATCTCAGGATTAGATTTAACCTCTTTGGGCTCTATTTCTTTATGTTCCTTAACATTAAGTAACTGGAGTAATGTTAGGGTTGTCCCGGATCTGTTAGATCACAGGTCTCAAGGAGGGAATGGATTTCATAGGAAGGTCATCTTATTTTGCAACACTGCGTGCTTGCTGCAACTTCTTCCCCTACTCCTCCAGCCTGGCCCATGTGTGCGTTAGAGTTTCTTTCTGGAACATGTAATGGGTAGAAAACCAGCATTCCCAGCTTTTACACTCCAATGCATCTGGTTCCACCCCCAAATCCCAAGCTCCATTTCTTCCTTTCCTGTTCATGAGGAATGAGAACTTGGAAAAGAGATAGAGGGTTCAGTTTTAAACTGCTTGTAGCTGGTGAAACAATCTCAAAATAAGCTGTGGGCCGTTTAAATTTTTAGTACCTAGCGGGCCATTTCATTAGTCCATATACAATGAAACAAATCCTTTAATCATTTAATCATTTATTCTTCTTTTGTATATTATGGAAAATGTACCCCCAAACCCCACAGGAGTTGGTTTCTTAAATTACATTTCATATTGCCATCCCCAGACCACCCACCACCACTTATGAGCACATCTGTCCCAAAGCCCCAGTGCTGCTGCAGCAGGTAGATAATGAGACAGAGAGGAGGGGACTGGAAGAAGAGTACCAGCATAGAAGGGCTCTTTTCTTTCGGAGACTCGGTTCCTGGCACTTGCCAAGTCAGTTAAATGAGAATAAGTCTCTACAGGTTCTGTAGGAGGATTCTATGGCCTGCCTCCAATGTCTGCCAGCAGGCTTGGTTGCTCCAGCGTGATCTGTGTTCTCTAGCATGAGGAACTATATTACCATGGCAGGAGGTCATTGTTGATGCTGAACCAAATTATAAAGTGTTTTTCTAGAGATGAGAATTAACCTGAGCTTAATCCAAATCTCTGTAAAATAAAAACCAGATGAATTAAAAGTTAAACATCCTAATTCATTAGTGGATTTTGTGCAAGAAATGGGCTCATTTAAGTTCTCTTTGATCTCATTAATTAATGGCTATTAGATTTAAATTCAGGTTCCAGCCTTGTTGCTCAAATCAGTTTTATGGGATGTTGCAATGCACAAAAATACACCTGGGCACTAGGAATTAGGTTCCTGATAGGTACAAGGGTTACAGTGGGAAAATAAGTTGTATGAAGAAAAAATACTGGGAATGGAAATATTTATAGTCTGAGGCTTGTCAGAATGAGGATGACTTCAATGTGGTCCCCTACCATGGGAATTTTGCAAAGCAACTACTGATCTTTTGTTTGTTTGTTTGTTTGTTTATATCACCTATAACCCTAAGAAAAGGCACAAATTGCTTTATTGGTTCGAAAAGCATTACAGATCCTGGACTGAATAAAATGTTAAGAAGTCACCAGTTAGCCAGATCAGGGGGTTTCCACTGTGGACAAATTCTACTAGAAAAGAGATGGCAAGGATTACTTAATGTGATAACTGTTTATTGAGTGTCTACTATGAGCCCGGCACCAGTCTGCCATTTGGAACACAGCAATGTTAACAACAGAAAAAGATCCCTGCCCCCATAGACCTTATATTCTAGCAGCCAGCTACAGATATTACCTAAGAAACATGTAAATAAGTAAATTCTATGGTATGTTAGAAATTGACAAGTGTTACTAGGATAAAAGTAAAGAAAGATGACAGAATTTGGGAGTCTGTAGAAGATTACAATTTTAAATAGGGTGCTCAGGATAGGCCTCACTGAGATGATATTCGAGAAAACATCTGAAGGAAATAAGGTAGCTAGCCGTGTGCCTATCTGGGGGAAGTGAGCTCCAGGCAGAGGAAACAGCCAGTGCAGAGGTCCTCAGGTGGGAGTGTGACTGGAGGGATATAGGAGGCAAATAGGACTGAAGCCAAGGGACCCAGAAAGAGAATAACAGGAGAGATGAATGAGAGGTGAAGAGGGGCGGGGAGGAGCCTCTCAG